TATGAATTAAAGTTCCCGAAATTTCACGGAGAAGCATTTGATTTAACTCGGTTGTTATTACAATAACAGCGGGTATTCTATCGAATAAGGGTGACACTTTTTAAGTAAAGATAGACTTAAAATGAAACATTTTCAGTGATTTCTATTAAGACAGAACAACCGACTCATTTTGCTAATGTAATCGGAACTGTTTGAATCTCAAAAAAGAATCTTCTAGAGGAAACCCAATCCAGCAGTTGTGATCGATTAAATTAAGGACAGCTATTGGAGCCAGATAAATCCAACGATGGTGAATCAGAAAAAAAAGCAGTGGACCATACCCAGTCTGATGTAGCATAAATTCCGTCGCTAACACTATACGCATTTGAGTAATCCTTCGATGAAACGTACTATAGCTTAGATTCACAGTCAGGTCACACATTTCACTACTTGTCTAGAAGAATGCACTTATTGATGAGCGATCGCTGAGGTCACTGTGTTCAGGTACGTGTCAATATCAACTGATTAAGATTAAAAGGCGAAGTATGACTAATTTTAATGCAAATCCACTCTGAGCAAAGAAAACTAACGAGTGAAACCGCCGTTGAACGGAAAACACTGAAGTTAAGAAAGCGATAAACGCTCGAAAAAAGCAAGCTAAAAACAAAAATGCATTCAGGATAACTGGCGGAGTGCGGAGGTTAAACAGCGATGAGATTCACACAGATGACCTCTGGACCGACTTGAAGGCAGCTGATACTACTCAGTGGTGATTTCACCGAGCTCAAAACACGCTTAAGTTCACACATGAATCTGATATCCGCCTAAGTAATAATGTCAAAATATACCATCATTGTATTCAATAGGAAATAGCTTTACTAACTAGACCTACCTAACTGAAGTACTGTATACAAACGTTTTTAGTAAGGATAATCGTCACCTTCGTCACCTTTCCGGCTATGTTTCCGCCTAAGTGAAATTCAATTACAACTTCTGAAGTGTTTTATTTCGACTACTCACTCTGCCCACAGAATGTTCAAAAGTAAATGCTTAAGACAGATGGGTCAGCAAAGCAGAACCACAGTGGAAAAAGAATCTTATTGTTTTGATCGATTTACGGCAATCGCTTCGGTAATCCTGAGCAGTCTCGCAAAGTCCATGATAAGAACAAAAAGTAAAAAACAATTACGTTGCAACTTATTCATCATCATGTAATTAAGATCATATATAAACATATATAATCCATGGGTACAAGCATATAAATGGACTACCAAGGGATTATCGGATACGCATGCCCGAGAGCGGGAAGAACCGCGAAATCGGTTTTGTGCTTCCAGGGAAATGTTCTCCGGCCACCCGTATACTACTTATTGTAAGATATATTTATCTGATTGTTTTGAATGGCTCTGAATCACTGGATACCAGCTTGTTCATCACTTTGTATTCTGATTTGACCCGGGAAACCTGACAGTATTAGGTCCAGGATCAAATCATGGACCTTGTTCTTTATTATAAACATTAAATTACGGCTTCTTTGACATATCATTTTAAGTTGGACGCGTGCCAAATATAAAACATAATAATAATGATAATAATTATAATTATAATTATAATTATAATAATAGAAAGATATTGTGTCCGCATCCTGAACACTGATTTAATTGTTACCACTCGAACCGCTTTCTCTTGTAACATGAGATATTTTCTCTTTTGTTTCATCAACTCACTAGATCTTAGATATTAGGAAAACAGAAATGTACCCAAAAATTGAGTTAAAACATTTATCCATGCATTTTCAATGCAATCTTACAATACATACAACAGTTTGAGGAGTGAAATGTTTATAGCTCAATTTCCTTGTTAAAAGAAGCCGTAACCAAAAAGTGCATCACATGACGTATTAATAGTTCGCAAATAAACCTCGTGATCAGCACAAACCAACTTTAGTGAAGTATTCAGTATCTCATATTTGCTCATCGCATTTTCGTTGTAACTGATAAAATTCTTTGTTTTTCAGCTTACTTCCTTGCAGTGTTAGATGCTAAGGGTGTTTGCTTCTATTATCTAAATGCTAACTTCAATATCAATTGCTGGGTTTATCCTAATGACAACTGATGCACGACAGCTTACTCGTCTGGTAAAGTATGATTCAGGATAAAGTCGATACCAATTCAAACACAGTGTTCAAATACTAAACTAATCGGCTTGCAACACTCAAATTTCTTAAAATGAATGTGCTACCCATTTTAAGATTATCTAGAAATATATATCATTATTCTCTATTTAGAATAAGTAATATTTGAATGACTCTAAAAGTTTCGCTGTAAGCACACGACGAGTTTTGGTGGTTCTGGTTCTGAAATGGTTGTCCAAACAAGTTTATCTCGTGTTGCAAATGATCTATTTGTGATGAATATATGTATATATATATATATATAATATCGGCTTGCGAAGAAGCAGTGGAGCTTCATAAGCTGCCCTATGTTCTTATTCGTTCTCAGCTTTTCCAGAGGATTTTCTCCAGAATATTCTGTCCGGCATAAAGAGCGGTTGGGTTATTCTCCTTCCAGTGGACAGATTTATTGACTTAGAATACACCAATAATATCCACTTGCTTGGTGGCAATGCATAGACTATCCAACTTCATTTAAACCCTGCGGGGAACAAGGCAGCCAGATATTGTATGTGCTTTGCATCATCAAAGGGTGAATTGATTGCACAATACTGGTAGAGGCCTGCTTCTGTAGTAATCATCTATAACAATCATTTAAGCATAGTTGAGAGCTCTGATTACCTCGTTAACTTGCCCGCGGCCTGAGGTGGTGGTGGGGTAAGAGATCACACCACAAATAGGGAGTGCCACAGTAGCTGCTGTCAACCTGCGAAGTCTGATGTGTCACCATAACATTCGACGAATAAGTTAAATCAGGTTGTACAATATGGCCGCTTTATGGCTGTGTTACCTGTCGTCTAGGGGCTGAGGATGCTGATTGACTTCCTGTATTTAATGACCGATTTCTTTGAAGTATTGTTAATGTTTAGCGGGAATACCGGGTGAGCAATAACGAGGGTCGTTGTCGAGTATGGAATGCTGATAGTCGTTCTTCTAAAGAGGAAATCGCTCTTCGAGACCCCCGATAATTCCGTCATGTTTTTCACATGCTAGCCCACTGCTTATCTCTCTGTGCCCTTTTATCATGCGCTAGGCAAGACTGAATGAAGCGACGCAGCGGTCAGACCATGATCCGGTATTGTCGTTTGAAGAGGCCAGCTAAATCATTGGCTTCCATTGGTGTTACCCACCTTTCAGAGTGGCGTTCAGCGGATGGAGATTGTTCTTGATGAGATGCTGGAAGATACTGCTCATAACAGAAATCGGTAGCGTAAATGCTGTATGGTTTATCTACTGAACTTCCGTATCTCGTGAGGGAAAAAGGGCCACAAAACAGACAGAAAAACACCAAAAAGTGTACAAAGAAACATGAAAAACCTATTTGTCTTCCTTGTAAATAGTTCTCCTTCACTGCCCTTATCTGTCACTAACTGCTTTGTTTTCCCACATTTATTGACCAGACGGTTAGTATGTCCGAAATCCTCAAATAATGGTGTTCTAAAAGGCCCAGGTGGAAGTACCACTTTTATCACTGCTGGTTTTGAATCCATCCTACCTCAATTTGACCCATCGATCATTCTTGTGTATACCTTTTACCGACACACTCCTACACCGCTGTCCTGTTGTCCACTCTAATTCAATACCCGTGTGTTGGCGATTTCGCCCTCCTCGTTGATCCTTGTCTGTAGTGGATCTCGACACCATTTTGACATAGGAACGCACCTTTCGCGTATTTGCTCCACCAGACTATCTTTATACTGTAGTTCTCACCTGTCTCATCAATCCGCACCCATGATTGACTGACCCTGACAATGGCCCACATACTCACACAGACACACAAGATTACTCACACTGTCGATCCACGGTGTGTCCTAGTGACCAACGTTCACACCCCGCATTTCGATTGGGTTCCCCTAAGTCACTTCCCACTGTTGACTATCACGGATACGCATGTTCTTTTTATACATTGGTTTATTCGTTCCATTGTCACCTCGCTGCGCTAATGCTTGCTCGCAGTCTGTGCCTGATAAACTATTGGCTTCACAGATTCCGGTGTTGGTTGAGCCGGATACTATCTCAGTTCGAAGTTAACAGGTTCTGCTCCATTGTGATCCGTTATTCAATACCGCTTTGCACCAGGTGATTCGCTTAACCGGAAATACGTTGCTGAGTCAAAAATCTCAGCTGCGGCTCATTTTTACTTTTACCCTATGAGACTGTCTAAAATGGTGAAGCTTGATCATAACGCACAGATACATTAGCACTGATTCTGGTGCGGAAAGCTGATCGTTCAGTTTTGACCTTTCACTGATTAGGAAAAACAAGTCATCGTTGTTAGTCGTTGCAATATGAGCTTAGCGGACAGTGACAAGCCACATTTGGTCTGCCTGAACGAGTCAGGTCTGGGTTTTCGGGGAATATGCGAAGAGTTCTCTCATCTCAATCCGCTAAAACAAAAACATTCACATTCTTCAAGCCGAATCGGTTCCGAGTGGAACCGAGGGGAAGAAGCCAGGGACTATGGAGGAGTTGAGAAATAATGTGAAAACGCTTGCCTTCAAACTTACGTGAATTGTAGTCGTGTGTGAAGTCGATAGCTGGTCGCCCATCAATTCATTGTGTACATCTGTAATCATTAATTACTAATTGTATCCACTATGGTTAAAAACGAAGTTGTCGAAAATCTTTTTGAAATCTGGTTATTTCGCGGTCTCAAAGGTACCGGTACACCGATGTATCAAACGTCGAATCATTTAGCTAACTGGTGTGGTTTGTTAATGGGAAGGTTAACAATTTCTCCTGTAGAAACGACAGCAGGTAAATATACATAAAACAAAATACCTTAGACTTCCATCAGCTCAGTCACACAACAGCGAAGAGTTAGAAGAATATTTGAGGACAATAAATCTCACCGAGGATTATAGAGCTTTTCTTCTCCAACAGTAGACGCTGTCATTCCGACGTAATTGTGAGCAGGAAATATCACAAAGTCATCTGGGAGTGAAAATATTTGTTTGTGGACTGAGTCATATAAGGTCTCGGAAGATCCCCCTTGGAAATCTGTACGTCCGCAACCCCGAATCAGTAACGCGTCACCAGTGAACACAAGCCCAGCTTCATGCAAAACGTACGTCATACAGCCAATCGTATGACCTTTATTGAAAAAAAGAGAATAAAACTAGCAAATTCGAATTGAAAAGAACAATTTCAGAGAAAAATGAAATACGTTTATCTGGTTGTGAAGACACCAAACAAATCTCAGGAAGGGGAAAACAATCAATAAAATAGCAACTATGTGATACTGCAAAATGTTGAAACTTAGACAGCGGTGTTGCTGTTTTAACAAACGACCTCCGGAGCGATAAATTGGTGATCTCAACCGCTTGTTCAACACTGTCGTTTCCTGATATTCACTCATTGCAGTAGGTGTCTTTTCGACAATAACCATAACAGCACAGCAAACATTTCTGATAAAGAAGTTTGGCTTGACCATCGATGCACGATTTTGCCGCGTAATCACAATCCACTCATTCTAAATTATTAGCAAGGAAACCGACACCAATGATTCGCGATAACTAATTACTTGATAAGTTCTGTAGTTCCATATCCCAATCCACCCATCCACTGTTATTGGTAATGTTGTTAGTGTTGTGGCGTTGGTAACATGCTTGTCCGCAAGCCAATGTTTATATATA